AGTTGAGAAGGACCATGGAGGATGTGAGAACCAAGAGAGGAGCTGACATAGCCTCAGATCACCACTTGCTGGTCGCCAAAATGAAACTGAAACTAAAGAAGCACTGTACAAGTTTAATACGGCCTTTCTTCGAGATACCGTAAAACTCTACGAATTCAAGATAACCCTCAACAATAAGTTCCAGTCCTTGCAGTATCTACTCAATGGAGAGGAAGCAACCTTGGAGAACAATTGGAAAGGGATCAAGGAGGCAATCACTTCAACATGTCACGAAGTTCTGGGTCACAAAAAGTACCATCACAAGGAATGGATCTCTGTTAGTACTCTTGAAAAAAGTGAAGAGATGGGGAACAAGAGGTCAGCAATCAATGTCGGCCGAACAAGAGCAGAGAAAGTTACCGCACAAGCTGCATACACAAAAGCAAACAGGAAAGTGAAGAAGAGCATAAGAGCTGACAAACGAAAATATGTGGAAGATCTAGCAATGACGGCGGAAAAGGCTGCAAGAGACGGAAACTTGAGACAATTGTACGAAACAACAAAGAAGCTCGCCGGGAACTATCGTAAACCAGAACGACCAGTGAAAAGCAAGGAAGGGAAAGTAATCAGCAACACTGAAGAACAGCGAAATAGGTGGGTAGAGCACTTTAAGGAACTCTTGAATCGACCAGCTCCACTGAACCCACCCAACATCGAAGCAGCATCCACGGACCTCCCAATTAATATTGGCGCACCTACAATTGAGGAGATCAGTATAGCCATCAGACAAATCAAGAGCGGCAAATCAGCAGGACCAGACAACATTCCAACAGAGGCAATGAAAGCAGATGTAGAAGCAACTGCGAAAATATTTCACATTCTCTTCAAGAAGATTTGGGATGAGTAACAAGTACCATCAGATTGGAAAGAAGGATACCTCATCAAAATACCAAAGAAAGGCGACCTGAGCAAGTGTGAGAACTACAGAGGCATCACTCTTCTTCAACAGGCTGGATTTCGTATGGATTGATCGTGTAACGACCAAATTTCAACATTACGAATCATTGTGGAACAATCAGTTGAATGGAACTCACCATTCTACATCAACTTCATCGACTACGAGAAAGCATTCAATAGCGTGAAAAGGAAAACACTATGGAGGTTTCTTCGACACTACAGCGTGACTGAGAAAATAGTCAACATCATACGGAATTCTAACGATGGATCAAACTGCAAATCATGCACGGAGGACAGCTAACAGACTCTTTCGATGTGAAGACCGGTGTCAGCCAAGGTTGCTTACTCTCACCCTTTCTTTTTCTCCTGGTGATCGACTGGATTATGAAGACGTCCACATCTGGAGGGAAGCACGGTATTCAGTGGACAGCTAGGACGCAGCTGGACGATCTGGACTTTGCAGCTGACCTGGCTCTTCTCTCGCACACGCAATAACAAATTCAAGAGAAGACAACCAGTGTAGCACCAGCCTCTGCAGCAACAGGTCTCAACATACATAAAGGGACAAGCAAGATTCTGTGATACAACTCTACATGCGCAAACCAAATCACTCTTGATGGAGATGCCTTGGAGGATGTTAACACCTTTACATATCTGGGCAGAATCATCGACGAGAAAGGTGGATCGGATGCAGATGTGAGGGCGTGTATTGGCAAAGCGAGGACTGCATTTCTACGGTTGAAAAATATCTGGAACTCCAAACAAACATCAATCAACACAAAAATCAGAATTTTCAATACAAATGTCAAGACAGTTCTAGTGTATGGAGCGGAAACTTGGAGAACTACCAAAACCATCATCCAGAAGATACAAGTGTTTATGAACAGTTGTCTACACAAAATACTTCTGATTCGTTGGTCAGACACCATCAGCAACAATGTACTGTGGGAGAGAACAAACCAGATTCCAGTGGAGGGCGAAATCAGGAAGAAGCGATGGAAGCGAAAAGCACCCAACTGCGTCACAAGACAAGCCCTCACATGGAACCCTCAAGGTGAAAGGAAAAGAGGAAGGCCAAGGAACACAATACGCCGAGAAATAGAGAAAGACACGAGAAGAATGAACAAAAATTGGACAGAACTGGAAAGGGAAGCCCAGGACAGAGTTGGTTGGAGAAAACTGGTGGGCGGCCTATGCGCTCCATTGGGGGTATTTCAGCGCCTTCATGAACTTCGATTAGTAAACTCTACTGTATTAAGACTGTTAAAGGATGTTAAATATACACATACTATTAGATTTTTAGCGTAACCGATAGGACAAGGTACGATTATGTAAGAAAGCATTTAAACATCTCTTATTTGAAAATTCTAGTTGCACTTAGGGCGTAAAAGATACAAGATTTTATGTAGTTAACTTACTAACTACTAAATAATTTCAAAAGAAGATTCCCGAAATTCTAATGAAGTGTAGGCAGGAGCGTCCAACTAAGTTAGTATTAAGGCGAATATCATCAGCGGGATTGGATGACTGATGCAGGGTATGGCGATTTGACTGAAGTTTTGAAGGTAAACTTGTAAATTTCAACTTAGTGGCTTGAATTTTAAGTACTCGCTAGGTAGTTTTTAAGTCTTGGATTCGATCTGTGAAAGGACTTATTAGATCTCTTCTAAGGAGTCCTAGATTACAATGAAATAGTCATCCAGTATTCCAAGTTTTTTCCCGTTGTTGTCTAATTAGAGTTACTTCATTATGTAAAACGGAAAGTTTAGAAATACTACTTCCCACCGTCGAAAACTTGCAAGCATACAGTAAATTGATTTTGAATAGTTGTTATAAAAGTTAACTAAAAGAATCTATTCATCATTCACGTTTCGAACAAGCTATTAGACAATATGAAGACAATTTTATAAAATCATTTGCATTTACATACATTTACTGGTCTAGGTGTGATCATCTTATCCAAACGTTAGTTTTTATCAGCAGAACATGACTAGCATTCAGAAATGGGGTATAATATAAGACGGAATTTAAATGATAATTTAAACACTGAACTAGATTCCTTATTAAGTTATCCGTGACTGAAATACCTAGTCTGTGAAGTTAGTGATTTAAATTGTTTATGAACCATAGAATACCGATGGATATCAACTCAGTAGTCTGAGGATGAAGCGCTCATCACTAAGCCTGAAGACCTTGGGTTTGACTCACTGATGGGATCGTGGTTATGGATACCTGAGAAGTCCTATACTTTGACGAGAGAGCTTCTTGGATTTCAGTGGTTACTTAACTAAGGTAGTTCAGTTACGCAAAACTACAGGTCCAAAGATCTTTTCAATTCTCTCTGTGTAATCATTTATGTTTCTAATGCACATTGTCTGTCTAAAACTATCGAATTACAAAACAATTCACAGTAACTATCATTTTCTAATGAATTGCTTAGGTAAAGGTGATCCACAAATTACACCACGAATACATTTACATCCAGATGGAATAGCCAGTGGAACATACTGGATGCGTCAAGCAATATTATTTGATAAATTAAAGTTAACCAATAATCCATTTGATCAAAATGGTCATGTAAGTGTTTATTGAAAAGAATTTTTCTTTTTAAAACATAAGGAATTTAACGTATCTTTCGTTTTTGTAGGCATTATTTATATTGTGTTGTAATGGTTTACTTTTATGAAGAGGACGCGATTAGTGTAATGGAAACACTTATTATTATAACCAATTATACCACTGATTGTTTTACTGTACCTCTTTGTTTAAGTGTACTAAAAACACTCTTCTTCCTATTATTGTGACCTTGTGCTTGCTTACGATCGCTCGGTAATGGATATTAAATCAAGGCTCATCGATCAAGCAAGTGGCTGTAGAAATATGATGATAGCGTTGCAAACCGTTGCCAGCGTTGGGGTAGTCGAAAACATGCTATTATCAGCGTGCACGAGGTTCGTTCGACTGCTTAGACTGGTTGTTCGTGTGCATTCGAGTGTCGCCATATCACCAATTTACTTAGCAGGTTGCAATATGTTCGAGGTACGAGCAGTTAATCAGTAAGCCGGAAGCATCTGTCACATGATAATCATAGCACCACTGCTATGATCAGTGATTCAGAAAGCAATGACGTGATGTGAACTGGCCTCTTTGCTTACATTTGATACGAGATTGTGCTGTCTGCGTTGTCCATCGAATCTGATGCGTTGATCCGTTCGTCGAATGCATTGAGTTCGAGAGCTTCTCTGTTGACATAGCTCGTAACGTTGCGTTATGTTCGACGTCGGAAATTCTCGGTAATCGTCTGGTATTCTCAGTCGATCACGTCGGGCTCACCAATTTTTGCGAGTTGAGACAATGTAACTTAGTACAGTGTAAGCAAAAAGTTGCAAAGATCATAGTATTAAAGTACTATTAACAACAAATTTAACTAATTTACTGAGGTATACCATTTTCTCTGTCTTACAATTTTCCCTCTTTTTATTTGAAAATAAATGTATCGGTTTTCTACCAAGAACCTAGTTACAAATCTGTTGTCTTCTTTTGTAAAAGACTAAAACTCTTACTTTATCTCGATTCAGTCTTTTATTCTTACTATAGATAATTATTTCTCTAGTTATAAGCTAAGCTTGTATGTTTAATTTATTTGAGTATAAAGTTTATTGTTTTCATTATAACTTAATGTCAGTCTATAACATATCTACGCTTGTTTCATTAATATCATCCAACAATTATGTCCATCCTATTGGATTGTTTTTTAGGCAATAAATATATGACATTGAGATGTTGAGTGTTATATAAATTTTCTTGTTGTAAAGTAGAAACAGGAAATACACTGGTTATCATTTGAATACATTATATATCTCATTGAAATAAAGTAACACAGGAATAATAGGTCGAAGATAATATATCAAGTCATTATACCTTTTAATAATCAATAAACCAGAAATGTCTGTTACAAATTGGCGGGTTAATAATTGAACTAACTATTGTATTTGAAGTGGTTATTGATGAGATTGTAGTGAAGAGAACACGAGAATTACAGAGTTACTCAGTAAAATTGGAAAACCATATCGTAAATCGTTTATTTGCAAAATAACAGTTCATCATATCGAACTGGACTGTTCCTGTTGCAAAACATCAATCCATTGTCACTATTCATGTGTTTCACAAAAATTCCATTGTTTTCTAACTCTTCCTTTCTTAATCTTCCCCCATCTTCTGCTGCCAGACATTACGTTGACGCTCACATCATATACTACTTATAAGTAGCTCACACCACAAGATTACGTTCTATGTCAACACACAACTCAGTCTTCATGACTGATACTACTAAATAAAGCATGATACGTGACCTTGAATTTCTACTGTTTACCATTGTTCATTTGTTATTCGTTTGTACTTTTCTTTTAAAGAAAAGACAACAATTTATTTCCAACAATTTTTTAAAATAATTTTTTTATTCATTAGATAATTTTAAATTCAATGCATAAATATCAGACAAGATTACATGTGATTTTCGCTGATGAAATGGATGAAATAATGAGAAATGATCGTGAAATTAGTCAATTTTGTACAAATTCATCGAAATGTATGAAAAGAACATTTACATTTCCAGAGACAAAATTTTTCGCTGTAACCGCCTATCAGAATAATCGAGTAAAATAACTATTGATTAAACTTTGATTATGAATTACTTTATATTGATCGTTATATTTTTACACTTTTTATTTTCATGTTAAAATGATTCTCTCTTAAAGTTTTACTTTCTATCTGGACAATTTGATTAAAGAAGTAGAAAGTTTGTCATAAACTAATTTCTGAATTTTTTCCAAATTCAATTATTGACTCAAGCCATTTAAATGAACTAATGTCAGAGAAGTGGATTTATTATACTAATAAAACCATAAAAAGCTATTATAAAGATAATATAAATAATTTATTGGTTATGTTTTGCAAGTGACTTATCGAAAAATTCTAGTTGTGAACAGTCAAGATATTGTTTTGGATCAAATGTGAACTTGATAAACTAGACAGTTGATGTTTCGATAATCACCTCCAAGACATTGAAAGAAACATAGAAGATAGTGGAACTCAGGAGATATTTGATATTTAACAAGATAAATCTGAAGTAGAACAACCCTCTACAGATAGAACAAAATAGCTACATATACAGAGTATGATAAACAAACTACAGGTGTGAATCATCAGCAAAGTCAGTGATGAAGTATGGGTGAGAAAAATGTTGTTACGCGTACTGTTCTTTAATACAACGACCAACATATTTTTTTATCAAAAAACTAGATAACCTGAGATCTCTTTTTAGCACTGCCCTCCATCAGAGATGCTTATACATCATTATTTTGCCCCATGAAAGCATTTTACGGTACTTTCCATCTTCAATTATTATGCCTTGTTAACAAGAAAACTGCTAGATGGTACTTAATGAATCGATATATATATATATATATATATATATATATATATATATATATGTATATATATATAATCAAGTTACGAATATAAACTCATAGTGTTGTTCACAATTTTTCTATCATTGTTTATTGTGATAACATAGAGTCACTGGATCTGAGAAAAAGACAGAAAAATTTATGAATTAGGTTTAATTTTTTTCGATAAATTCTATCTAAAATTAAGTGTAATTTTTTTTGAAACTCACTTTTGATTGATGACAAATGTTAATTTAAGTAACCTATTGTATTGCTGAATAAAATTAAGTGGTTTTCGGTGAAGAAAATATTTGTAAATATTTTTTCCGATAAAAGTTGATTCAAAGTCTTAATTCAAAACTTAAATGATTTTACTGATTTATTTTTGTTAAAAGAATTTTTATTTCAGTTCGGTTGATTTGTCCAAGATACCTTGCATTGTATGATTTAAGTATTTTATACCTAGAAAACTTAGATAGTGGTTCACAATAAACTCTAGACTTACGTTTTATGCTATTTGATGTCTTGGTGATGAGATTACATCTAAAGAATAAAATGTATGCAGATGCAAATCTTTCTAATGAGTAAACACAAAATCTGAAAGATCTTAACGGGGTTTTATTCGTTACTTTAAAAAATAAATAGTTCTTGTTTTAAAACTGAGCTTATGATTCAAGAAAAAAATGAAAGGAGTTTTTACTTTTTAATGAGTAAAAATGCAAAAGTTACCTGATTATCACACTAATATTTTGATTGCTTTTTAGGTGACACAATTGAAAATTTCTAGCAATCCATTTGCGAAAGGATTTCGAGATTGTGATCCTGATAATTGGTAAGTTAAAAAATAAGATATGATTGAATTGACACACTTAAGGTATACTATAGCAGTAAATAAAACAAATTTAAAAACATCAGTGATTGGTTTATTAATAATTGGTATTATTGATTGCAAATGAAACAGTATTTTAAACTTCTGAGAAAATATTTTATAGGTAAACATGAAATTATTCATTGATATGGACGTATTAGTAAACGAGTAGGAAGGTTTCCACTATTTAAATATACTTTTAAAGAAAGACATAGAACTGCAAAAACACAGTTGAAATTAAGCTTAAGTTCACATGTAAAAAATACCAATCAGTGAATTTACAGGGTTAGGTATTTGCTTTAATTCGGAGATGTGAATCAACGAATGTCAACTCTGTGATCAGAGAATTATACTAAGAGTCCTCTGAACATGGAAACCCTTTTGGGAGAAGTTTTATGCAAGGAATAAAACAAGTGTCATGTACTGTTTAATTTTGAATGGGTCTCAATCTGTAATGAACTATGATTTCAAGAAATCTTTGAAAATCCCTGAACCTTTTGTTTATTTATATCAATAGGTATTTGAGATTTCAAATAAGTTATATTTATGTATCTGTAATTGTGAATAGTCATGTCAGATTACATTTATTCTATACTTATATATGAAAATTAAGAAATTACAAGACATTTCTAATATTGTTGCACAAATATACATAGATAAGAACTGAATGGAGCAATCATTACATAGCCATGATTACATCACTAGATTATACTTTAATCAGTAGACTAAGACAAATTATTTGAGTAGATTTAAGAAAATATAACTTGAAAGACAGTTTTCTTTATATATATTTCATCAAATCTATCCAAATAGAAACGAACTAGACAGTTGTGCTTCATGAATGAACCTTTTAACTATTTTATCAGTAATCAACTCGCATATCTAATATAACTACAAAATGTTTTTGTTTAGTCGTACAGAAAATCATTTACAACATTTCGATACAAATCAGAGTGAGCAATTTACAAATGAACCTGGTTGTAAACGAACAATTAGTTCAGGTAAGATGAAATCTAATTGCATTCAAGTTATGTACTACGGTACTTAAGTATTTTGATTTGTAATGATTTGGTTTATCATGTTGTTGCTGATTCAACTGAAATTCGACCAATCTTAATCCCACTATTAGCTACATTTTATCTAATTTTTAGGTAAATAATAATAAAATGCAGAAACTTCACTGACTGGATTATAATTTTTTAAACTTAAAAATGTGTCGGATTTTATTGATTTAGTTTCATTGTTTAGATAAAGTTGCGAGGAGCTACGCATGTATAGACATATACATGGCTGTACTCATATCCCATCTTCAAATTAGTGATAGGCGAGAAGTTATGAGTAAGGTATCCTATTGATGGAAGTTGATTATGTATCCATTTAAGGTCTCAGCTACTTTCCCTTGTCTAGGTCAGAACGAAAGTCGTGTTCATACCAATGATTTATTTACATTATAATTTACATTTTCTTACGCTATCTGTTTATATATTCAAAGAGGTACACTTTTTATCAAAAGAAATCAGTCTTCCATTCAGTTAGACAAATTTTAATGAATTATGTTTATTAAAAAATTCATTTGTCATTTTTGAGGTACACTTCGTAAACAGAAACAATGATACTTGTTGTGAGAACTGAACAGGTTTCTTTCACGATCATAGTCCAAGACTTTACTAATACTCTATTTGTTCCTCAGTTTGGTCCTGTCTGAGTGAAAGTTTTGAAGTGATTGATCATTTAGCAAAGATCAACATCATGTTTGTTCACTAAATAGTTCTGACTCAAATATGTTGCTCAAGCTACAATGTAGTCACTAGTTTAAATGAATAGAACTAATGAATATGATATTTTGATGTTAAGTGACTGAAAATAGTTTGGAGAAAATCCTGGATTTGGGTTTCATGTTGAATGTCCATATCTTGACTCTGTGATACTGCTTCCTCATATAACCAATGTAATAATTTAATAAGTATGATACAAATTCATTTGTTTTATTTTATTCCAGTGTTGCATAGTCCCGTTTTTTGCTACTGCTTAATAAATTGGGTTTACCGGATTTAGCAAGTTACTAGCAATACATTTCATAAATCTTTCAAAGCTATTTTGTTCATTGTATATTGATATTTTTATTCATAAGTTATCTAGTTCTCAGTTTCTAATCATGTGGTGATTCACTGACCTTTGGAAAATTAACCTCTGATAGTCTGTATGAAGTTGGGCTAAAGACATTCAAATGCAATAAATTGTTGCAATTATTTACACTTATTCTTAGTGCTTCCAAATTTATTAAGGTTTTATTATTAAACTACTAATGAGTAGTATAAACATTTCGAGAAACATTTCATTAATAGTTTAGAAGTTTTAGTATAATTGATTATTATGTAAAATATACAAGTCTTTACACCTACTATCACAGTTGCAGGATATCTCTGTTACACTCCATAACAATGTAGGAAGCTTGCTACATTTTTTTCACAAACAAAAGCGTCTGGTATTGTGATGATTATAGTGTAAAGGCTTCATCATTCCTGGCTGTTCAGTCACCGTGATTTTGATCCTTTAGAATAACTACGCTACACAAACAGGCTTTGTTGAAATTTGTTTATATTTAAAACTAGACAGACAGAAGTTTGTTTGCGAAACAATTTCTTAACTGTAAACATACGACCTAAAATACTGTCTAATTGATGATATTATTTTGTGGACAGTAAACGTAATGTTGAAAACATTCAATGAATGATAGTTTCTGTTCTGTTCAGTAAACTAGGGACATTCCTGCTTCTAATCACTTTCAAGAACATTGATTTCATTTTGTTTTCGGATGATGTGTGTGGTAACTATTTATCACTTCCGGTAGTAAATTTTTGAAACTGAGTAAATTCCATCCAATGTTATCATCAAGTAGTTGTTTCCCCTTCCACTTGTTCCCGGAACATTTTCTGACAGATTTTAGCCATATGATGTGATTAGTATAGATTTTTCTTTGAATAAGATTAATGTTATAACAAAAATTTTAATGTTTTTTCTTATAGACCATAGTCAATTCTTTGATTCGATCAAATTCAACTTTATCCGGTTAATAAAAACATCAGATTTATTATTGTTAGTTAAAGCAGCTCTCACAACTAACTTTCATCACAATCGAACAAGTCTATCTGTCATAATAGTGTAGAACTCAAATATACATGTGCTGAGAAGGATCTATATTTCGTAGTTGTACAGCACTGAAATGTACTTTTTCAAGCACTGTAATATGTAGTCAGATAAAGTGCCTAGATCTGAGCCTATTAGTTTCAGTGAAAATATTTAGGTGGCATACCACTGAATTGCCCTGTATCTAACATAATTTCAGAGTTACCAATGTAAACGAGAAGGTATCATTAAAAGAATAGTAAAATTCGGAAATTTTTCAAATGATTAAAACAAACTGTGACAATAATAAGAAAAAATCAACTATTGAGCTTTATGTCTTTTTTTAAAAGCATTTTTGATAATGGTAATTTAACACTGGAGATTAAATAAGACAGCAGAATTATAAAATTTATTCCCTAATGAGATAATTTCCGTATAAAATTTTTATATATAAATTTGGTGAAGGCGAATGAAATTTTATATTCTAGTAGTGACACATTAATTATACACAAAGGAATGTTGTTGACAGATAATGAATGAAACATTAACGGGACACCGTATGAATTCCTTTCTCTGGAAAAAAAGAATGTGTAAAGACAATAATTTATTGGTTGTTTATAATATGTGCTTTATTTGTTTTGAATGTTATTTTTAGTTATAAGCAAGTTAAATGGGTATTTTTCTCCTTGAATTCAAAATGTTACATTACAAATATAGAAGCATTCTGTTTTTTAATCTTTTTGAACAGTTTCAGTTTATGTAAATCACTATCGATTATTTGGTAAGCAGTGTTAAACTGGTGTACATGAATATGTGAAACATATTTAGTACATGTATAATGACCACAGTGTAAAGTATATAAAGCATGAACTGATTTTATCAAGCGAATCAATGAGAACCGAGGAGTATTAGACAACTGTTCAGTACTAGTATGGTATTCCTCAGCAATGGACACCCAATACTACAAGGGGTCGATCCAAATCCTTTGGCCTTGCTAGCGAAGGCCTAATATTTACACCAAAGTGTAACAAAATCTTACTGCCAGTGAGATTGTTAACATTGTTATGCTATGATTATTTTATTAAATGTAATTGAATTGCTCGAAATTCATCTTCACTAGAAATGGAAACCTTAGAAGACATTCTACGAACAGAAAAGAATTTGAGTAGGATTTCAGCGTAATTTATTTTACAAATCATTGGATATATGATTTTTCCTGAAAAGTACAATCCAATGAACTTCTAAGTTGTTTTACTTAGCAGTTTACCTAGTAGACTGCGTACAAGATTGCCAGTCAATAAATTTTTGGGCTCTGTTACATTCTTTTAATGAATCAATGGTTAATTGGTTAAAAATCATGAGTTTTAATCAATGAGTCAAAAGTTTAAATTTCTTTCTACCTACTTCCATGTGGACAGTTTTATTCGTCAGATAATTCTCATGTTAAAAGTGTGACTAAGAATTTAGTAGACAAGTCTGTATTGATTAAGTGAGTGATATTTAATGTTTTCCTGAAGCAGTAGTTTGAAAAGACTTTTAAGTTTTTAACGAAATTATGTATTAATCTTTTTTTTCAGAATTCAAGAAAATGAATGCAAAAACGAAAGCGTATCCACTATCGCATACAATCAAATCAGATAAAAAGCTAAACAAGAAATCACGTTCAAAGAGTCAATTAACGATTGCGAAACAAGTAAAACCGGTCACAGAATGTGAAAATCTTTTTCCATCTTATTTATGTGTACATAATCAAAATATTGAAAAATCGGATGTTGATGAAGTTAAACTGAAATCCCTTTCAACGAATATTGAACATTCAACATTCAACAGTTTCACTAATTTAACACCAAATTTTCATTCAAACTATTTACAAATACCTTCAATGAGCAGTCAAAGTGAAAGTGGCAAAGTCCGGATACTGTCATTTCCCATGAATAATAGCTTTAACACAAAGTCAGACAATATTATTTTAGGTAATACCTCAAACGAATTACACAGGAATAATGTTTATCAAGATGTAAATTTTCATAGTAAAATGTTTTCTATCAATGAACCGATTGACATTTATCAAAACAATCAAATCTATCACACTGATAATGAGGAACAGAATTTCAGTGTTTACACGCTGTCCGAACCATCTTCAATGTCATATAAATGGTTAAACAGAGAAAGTCAAACTAAAATTCCTTCTAGTGAAGTTACAAAAGAAACATGTCTTTTTTCATCTGACAATCAAGAATTATCTTGTAATTTATTTGAATCATGCAGTATTCACAAAGATACTAACAACAGTAATGTTAATCCAGGTGTATTAAGTGAACAGATGAATAATCCAACCTTTCAGTCTATTATTCAGGAACCTATTGCAAATTCTCACAATGCTGTCAATGAGGATGAAACCAATGATTATCCTTATGAAGTTAAGAATTTCATACACGGAATGAAGTATTTCACTGCAACATGAAATACTGATTTTATCATAGAAACAATTCCTTTCGCATTTCCTTAAATTGATATTATATGAACAATGATGTTTTGTTTTTTAATAAACCAATTGACTGATTACAATATGAATAACGTTTCTTCTTATGAAGTTATACAGAATTTACCCTAAGTTTATTTGTTCCCTTGAGAAAAAATGGTGGGATAAAACCCTTAAAGAAAAAAAAAGAAATTATTCATCTTTTGTAAACTTGGAATTATGAAGTGATTTTCATAAACTATTTTTGGGGTGACTTAGGTTTCAGAACCAGTTAGAACTAGGGAGTACTAAATACCTGAGTCATTTCAACAGAGAGAATTTATATTTTTATGAGAAATCGAGCTCAAGCTTTTCAAATTTCATATTAAGCAGTAGTTTATTCTAATAAAATTCCAGTCTGACACATCCTAGCTTTTTATTGCTATAATAGGTGCCTTTTTGCGCTGATAACACATAGACTGACAAAAAAAATACACTAGTCATTCCCACAAACCAATATTTCACTCAGTAGTGGAATAATAAAACAAGAAACATGAGATTTTGTGATTGTGTGGAATTAATACCCAGGAAAAGTGTAGACCTTTATTTGGTTTGGTGAGTAATAGATGCATCAAATGAAGTGTAAATGCCATTGTTTTTCTTGTCAATCGTGTGTGACATATGTCCAAATCTGAAGAAGGAATATAGATGTGCGATTAGTCTGTATGGTAAGTAAATGTTTACACAGTAAGTTATTGTATTAATGTTATTAAATATATCTTAGTTCAAATTATACAAATCTGAATTTTAATCTATAATCAATCAATCATATAAAAAGTGGTGTATTCTGGTGTATTTTGACAGTAGAATAAATCCTTATCACTTCACAGCATTTCTCTGTGTTCAAGTAGCCATGTAGATTTAGCCTGGGGTTATTAGAAGCGGCTAGGAAACTAGATCAAGCATTCACTAAACAGACTTATCGTTTATATTTATTTCTAAGCAACTTCAAATTACACTCAAAAGTAGTGAATGGATTTGATTTAACAGAGGAACAAAATGTCGAATAAGATTATTTCAAACATTCAGCAACATGAATTAAAGCATAGAGTAGTGTTAAGTTCGTCACTAGGTACGCTTGAAGCTATTACGAGTTCACCCTAGTCGATAAACGTGAACGAGACAATGAACTAGCGTCCAGGTAGGTTACCTTGATCCCAAAACTGCAAAAGAGAAGTCCTGAAAAGCCTAGAAAGTATATTCCACAACACCCTGCAAGCAGAATGCAATCAAGTCACATAAATAATGCTAGAACCAAATGAGAAAATATAACCAGCCACAAGAATTATCTCATGTCAGTTTGAAAGTAATTATGAAAAATAAATGCTACACTTCGATTACTACCTAAATTGTCCGATCATTTAGAACGAGATCGAAGTCTATCATATAATGATATAAATAGAGTACTTTCCGAATGGTAAAAAAAGTATTTTAATATGGATGAACTAAGTGTGTTTAATAATAAGTAGGATTATTTGCTATTCGTTGTTAAGTTATTCTTGATGAATAACATAGTATCTATTAGAAATGTAATCAGTTGGTAGTGGTAACCGTTTGTTGTGATGTGCAGCTGTAGATTATTTCACAATAGTTAAGTAACTACTTAAATATCTTGAGTAGTATATACTACCATTAGGAAGTTGAGCTGGTACTGCTGCCTTATGATATAGTCTCGATAATACTGTTGATCTTAGTAGTTTTTCTCTCCCTTCAAAGTTTACTATCATTCAGTGTCATGTGAACATATTGAACTCCTTTAGTGATAGATAAGAGGATGTTTGTTATGCGATTGTTTTCAGCAAAATAAATCAGTCATAACAATCTAAGTGTAGCATATTTTGCATAACACAAACTACACTACATTCATTTCTTCACATTGTTGATACGTCAGTGTTGATAAAAAAACAAACTGACATTTTTTTCTATCGAAAGTCTAAGTCAGTTTCATAGTATTTCTAAATCAAGATAATTTACAGTTGACTGAATTTAATCCGTTTCTATGATACAGTAGTGTAAAATATTCAATTTCAATATGTCTGAAATTGAAGTGTGTTACACTTTAACTAGCATTTTTAAACATTAAGTGTTCACAAAATTCTCTTTTTTTTTGTTGGTAAACTTGAAAAAAAAGGTGATTTGATTTGAATTGTCACATTAATTTATTCTTGCTCTCCGTATTATGTGTCATTCTATTTACTAGTGAAACAAAAGTATACACATTGTGTATTTCTGGACAAATTATCTGATTATACTTTAAAAGTTATCTTGATAATAAAGTACTTACGCTTCTATTTTTAATGTCTGTCAATAATACTTAATGTTCATAAGTATGTATACTTAACAAGCTATACACAAAACAAACTTACTGTTCACAATATTGATGTGAAAACGAACAACTGACGTGTATGATAATGAATATTTCTGATTAACCAAAGAAAAAAAAAATTACTTTTACATTATTATAAAAAAAATTTATGCTAATGAGGATTAGTGCAAGACAAAAAAAAATTGAAATTACAATAATTTAGGAATAAATTCAAAATTCAACACGCGTACAATTCGATTTTGTTTTGTCTTCTACATTCATCATCATCATCATCATGAATGAATGAATGTATGAACGATGATGATGGATTTCACATAGAAGACTTAAAGCATGCATACAGAAAAGGAAAATATAAAAAGTAATGTGAAATATTACTTTTCTTGATTAACTATTTTTTTTTTTAAAAAAAAAGAAACAATAGTTGGACATGTTTCTTAACTAGCAAAAGATTCTTGTTACTGATTTTTTTTCATTCTCCTTCGTTTGTCTACTACGTGGAACTCTAAAAAAAAACAAAAATAATTACAATGAAACTGTCAAAAGATTGAACAAAAATATATAATTGAAATTGTTCTATTATTATTATTATTTTTTTGAAATTTCCTCTTGTCGTTCGTTATTTCCGTTCATTGTGAAGTTACACTGTTATATATGTAATAACAAAGAGAAAATAAACCAACCAATAAATCAGTGAACATATTGATTTTTTCTTTTGGCATTGTTTTATGAAATGAAGAAATAAGAATAAAAAAAAATAACAGAGGCATTTTCAGTGACTAATTTTTTTCTTTGAACAATGTGATAACAATCATTTGTTATGATTAGAAATTGTATTATCCAATTATTGAAATAACTAGATTATGTCTAGTGATTTTATAAATATTGAATTATATTTCATAATGAGAAAATGGATGACATTTAAATTCAATTGCTGTTTGGGTTACTGTTACTACTGTTTTTGTTGTTGTTGTTGTAGACCTATCTCATCATATCTAGTGGAAAAACATTTTTGACGTGAACATTGCTTACTTACATTCACCTGTTACCCATAATGGATCATAGGCCACCGATTAGCATTCTCCAACTAACTCTAACCTCCGTTGGTCTTTTACAGCTGTAACCAATTGCTTTTCATGCTTGTCTCTGACTCTAAGCATTCTATCTATATCCGGAATTTTTTCCCAATTTCTTTTTCAACTGGAATCTAGTCTGTCTGTTCTATCCCACAGTAGGTTATTAATGATGGTGTCTGTCTAATAGATTTTCAGTAGTTTGAGTAGAGAACTGTTAATAAATACTTCTATCTTTTGGATGGTGGCTTTCGTAGTTCTCCACGTTTTCTCTCCATACAATAAAACACTTTTGATGTTCGTATTGAAAATTGTAACTTTGGTGTAGGTTGATGGCTGTTTTGATTTTCAGATGTTCTTCAGTTATGGGAATGCTGCCTTTGCTTTGCTAATCCGTGTGTCCACATTTGAATCAGAACCACCTTGTTTATGTCAATGATGCTGTCTAAGTTTTCACATCTTTGACAGCTTCTCCACAAGTCGCCTGCGAAGTCCAGTTCGTCCAACTTCATTCCAGTTGTCTTCCTTATTCCTCGCTTCCCCCAAGACGTTGATATCATCAAAATCCAGCCAACCACCAGAAGAAAGTGAAAGGGTGGGAGTAGGTAACCTTGTCTTGCACCGGTCTTCACTTGGAATGATTCTGTGAGATGCCCTTTACGCATGATTCTTCAGTGTAGACAATTGTAAGAATTTTGTTTGCCGACTGTCTACTCAGGTACACTAAAATGTCGAAGAAGCCTTGATGGAGTGGTCCTGTCCACGCTATCGAATGCTTTCTCATAGTCAATGAGACTGTTGTTCAGTGGTTATTGCCATTAAGTTGATTGTTCCACAATGATTCGTGGTGTCACGATTCAGTAACTACACGATATTACCTAAGGGAGTCCAGCCTACTGATCTTGAAGTTTGGAGTCTACTGAGCTTTTTGTTCGGTTCAACAACACTTCCTGGTGTTGAGAGTTGAGTGATGTCTCTGTGGTCCTCATACGTAAACATTAGTGAGTATAAATCGAATTCGGAATAGTATCATTCATTCCAACTAGTACATTTACTAAACTCACACTTAACCTGTATAAACTGAACAAAACTTTAAAACAGTAGCTGTTTTCTTCCAAGATATTAGATTATTTGGCTAAAATTAATCTGGAAGTAATTACAGTTGATACTATTTACTAGGAAGATTACTAAACAAGTTATTAAGTTTCAGGAAAATAAATTTTGTGAGTAGATATCCATCTAACAATCTCTTTTTAACCTTTCATTCATACCTTTTTATAAATATTTTCTTACTTATCTAACAATCTTTCTGATCAGATTAGATTAACAGTTTCACAGTGTTTTGATAATTGTTCTCAAATTATCAAAATTTACCTTATTATTTTTTCAATTAATTTTGAGTATGTTTGATATTCATATTGTCATGTACAGACATTTTTGTTACTTCCATTGTGGTTACTTGATCAGTGTTCTTTGTAATTTCAATTGACCGCCCTACTGTTAATAATGGGTTTGCACTTTCGTTGATTCATTAAAACATGAATATTTTCACTAATTGTCCTATAATACAACC